CTTATCAAACTAATGAAAGGATTTAGTCCTGATTTGAAGTGGATTCAATGTTGATATTTGTTATTTATTAGGATAATTAATAAGAATGTGATGAGTTTCAGCAAAACCTTCAACAAAATAACAAAAACACAACAACATGCATCTTGGAACTTGAAAAAAATCTCAACAACACAACTGACAAGGCAAAGATGGCATCTTACAGCTTTGCATTACAAGTAAGGATAACACACTGTATCATGCACAACAGCATCACACACAGAGGAGACTGGAGACCTGTTTCTCTGTATTCTTCTTCTCCACAGTAAAATGGATTGTTTAGTAATGTTTAAGGTTATTTGAGGAGGAAACTTTCCAGTTTAGTCAAATGTACTCTCACATTGTTAGTATTGTGTGTAATTGTGTGTGATGCAAATGTGTGTGTGTTTTGCACCGTGTGTTGTGTGTGTTACCAGCAGCATTTCCTCCTGTTCCAGCCACCTCTGATCCTCCTCCATCTGCTGTTGTTGTATCATCAGCTGTTCCTCCATTAACAGGCACTGCTGGCCTACACACTGCTGCATGTCTACTGCCCTGTCCTACACACGATCACACAACACAAACAAACGTGCAACAAAAGAAAACAAGGCATAGCAACAGTCATGCACACCAACAGAGGGACACACGAATGAAGAAAGACATGCACAGTCACAAACACAGGACATGGAGACAGACAGACACATACACCAGACTGATGAGAGGCTGATGGGAGGCAATCGACACACACACATACAAACTAAAAACAATGGTTGCATAATCTGTACTATTTTCATATATGGATTATAGGTTTTATGGTCTGGAATCATGATGCTACTGTTTTTTTTTCCCTTCACAGTATTTTCTCACAGTCTCTTGAGGCTACCAGGCAACTCTTGCAAAATGACAGATTATGTCTAAAAAGACTCAACAAAGAATTTACTATAATTTAAAAAATAATAACATTTAACTTCTCAGACCTGCGGATTACAGAAGTCTTGAAAATTCAAAACAAAAATATGAAAAAGGGTTTTTTGAAACTCGTATTTCTGGGGCAGTTGTAAACATTGATATGAATAGAAATGTATGCAAGCTAGATGAGTCTGTAACATATTAGCTATTAGCATTAGAACCTAGCTTTGTATGTGTTTTAGTTGACAATCCTGTCATAATGACATACCAGTGTATTTGTGAATATGTGTGAGTACGAGTATAAGATTAGTCTCCTACCTCCATTGCAGAGCCCCACAGTGCCATGTCCTGCCCGTGCGGCTGGGAAAGGTGTGCGTGCGAGTGTGTGTGGATGTGGTGGCGAGGGTGCGTGTGCGCGTGGTGCGTGTCCAGCATTGCTGCCTGTGGTGGGTACAGGGCACTGGGCACAGAGGGAAGCGTGTGAGGGCCAGGGTACCCCGCCATCTGACACAGGGACAGAGACAAATGTTACGACTTTTATCGGTTCTCGTTCAGTCACAACTGTAACTCTGAACACTTTGTTTTAAATGATATCACAATCTACGTTTTGTAATTATACACCATATGAAACAATAGCATGAGTTGTGAAGTTTTTTAACGTACCTGGTAGTGTCCAGGATGCTGGGGGCTGGGGTAAAAACCTTCACTTGAGCGAGGACTGGGATAGCCTGGTCTGCTCGGCTACAGAAAGAGATGGAGAGAATGAAAGAAAAAAAGAAGAGAGAGAGAGAGAAAGACAGAGGGTTGAAGCAAAATAGGGGAGGAGAGGTTGAGAAGGAAAAACAAAAATGAAGTTAAAATGCTTGTTAATTGTTTTTCCAGACTGAACGGTAGAGGGCAGGACACCGGGTCATTCAGACAATCAACACACAAACCTCCAGGAGCTGTTTGTGTGGGTGGGTTAGCTGTCAATCAAAAGGGACTACCCACTGGGCTGCAAGTCCAGCAAGCTGTTAGTTGAACTGGCATGAACTGTCCCTATGTTACACAACAACATCTATGGATCACCGGTGCAAACTATGTCATATTCCTGGATAACTAGTTCCTGGGAAATCTGATTAGATGTGATGCAGAGGTGTAATCAGTGTGTTATGATGTTCACCAAAAACCATGATTTTCAGTACATTTGTTTCTCATTAGGATGTTAAAAATATACTGTGGCTAACCAGGCTAAATGGGGTATAACACATTTCTAATCAGCATAATAATTGGGATTTCTCCTGCTAAAAGACGTTTGTAATGTAAAACAATTGAATGCAAAAGAATTAGGATTTGAGGAGGAGAGATCTTGAGATACAAGAACACTTGTAGCTGAAATCAGAAGGCCTTGGTGAACCCGCTGCCTTGTTTCTTTTGTTGTTTTCTGATGAAGAGTTTCCCCTCTTCTCTTTAAATGAACAAGGGATCTGTTTTTCTTAATGATTCGAACTGCTCTCACACAGAGCCAGTGTCTACAGCACAATATTACAGTAACCTCTACCTTCCACAGTCTCTCATAGTAGCTTTCTCTGGACCACACCTCCGACAGCAAGACAGAAACAAAAACACGGGGAGGAAGGGAGACAGACAGCAAAGAAAGACAGGGAGGGATGACAAGGAAAGAAAAAAAGGGGAAGGACAAAGAGAAGCAGACAACACAAAGAAACTCAAGACGAGACAAAAGGGAGCTGCAACACTTTCAGACAGAGTCAGACCAACTTAGGGCATGTTTGTGGACATGCTCGCACATGGAAGGACACAGTGTTCTTACACAAGAGGAAAATTATATCCTAAAAAATTTCAATCTGCTCCAGATTCACAGCCCTGTCACAGTCACTCCATGTCTAGAGAGTTTTCCCTGGGAATACCCAGTTTAAAGATAGTAAGATAAACACAGGGATGGCAGACAGACAGACGGGAGGTTGATCAGACGGCACTGACAGACCAGGAATACACAGACACTTCTTCGACTACTACTTTCTATCTGGAGACGTATGGATGAATATTTATAAAACAGGAGTAATGACCAAATAATTCAGCCATGTCAGTTTCATCCCATTGAAGAACTTCAGCTCATCACTTAGAGCAGCAGCGTTCTACCGCGTTCAACCACAGATGATCCAATACACACTATCTGCTGGCAAAAATAAAATTATACACATAAGCTACCAGATGAAATGGTGGGGGTCACCTTTTGGAGAGTCAGAAATGTGTTGAAAGTAAATGTGTTAAATTTACTGGAACAGGGTTTCTACAGGTATTAAGACATTTTAAAACCTTTTTAAGACGATAATGAATAAATACAAGAAACTCTCATAGAATTTAAGATTATGACCAAGATGTTTGTAACTCAGTTCGTAATTCAGATTATTACATTTTAGACCTATTTAGACTTTTGAAGGCCCTGCAGAAACCCTGTATAATCTGGCTCCATCTAATAAGACCTATGTCTATGTGTTGCCAGAGAAGACTGTTAAATATGTCATCACCTCGAGCATTTAACTGATTGTATAAATCTACTCTAAATTTCAGGGCAGCCCACGCAGTCATTGGAATCCTTGTTAAAATCAATCTGTTGTTGTGAGGCACATACCCGTTACTAGCACGTCGCCCAATGGCATAACTCAATGAAGAATTTTAGGAATGTTGAGTAGCGAGATGTAATTAAAATTTTCTTTTTGCCTCATGGATCTCTAGGGTAAGATTCATCGACTCCTCCACAGAGACACATCAATCACCACTACAAGGGTCACAGTGCTGCACAAACATACATCAGCAGCTCTGGAACTGAGACAACACACCGTGGGATGGATTTTTTCAGGATTTTAACTTTCAGCCATCCTTCAGTTGTTTTATACAACTTAATTTACCTTTTGTCAAGTTTCAGTCTCTCATTTCTCACTAGTAATTGCAACTGGATTTCTAATTTTTACAAGAAACCTCTCAGGGTAGGGTTCTGCTAGAGTTACGAGGGCAGACTGAACTTTCACCCTAAAACCGAGTCACCTACAAATTCAAGCATGTGTTGTACTCATCACGTGCAGCACCCAACAGCTGGGTCAAGGTGAGAGAGAGCGCACCCCTTATAAACACGCTCACGTAGAGAATATTGATAGAAACAAAAGCTTCCAGCATTCTTATGAGCTTCATGTGTGTTTAAAATTAACGTGGCAGAATTCAGTACAAAATGCAGATCTCTAGTATCATAGAGGTTTAAAGTCTTTCCTCTTGGACACAAATGGGACCAGGAGCTGGCGAGTTGCTGCATTAAAGCCTAAGTTCTGGACTTTGGGTTCCACCTGGTGTAAAAAAATATGTTAACATCCATTTTGAGCCCTCTCCTTGCCATCAAAACACCAGTGATGTTTATCTGACCACTCAAGGTTTTGTTGTCAATATTGTGCCTGTAATTTGTGCATCTAGGCTCCAAGTGTGTGAGGTGAGTCAGACTTGTAGCCCGGTGGAATTAGGGTTTTGCACAGGCATCCGGCACAGGCTAGAAATAGGCTAAAATAATCTGAGGACACATCAACACAATGCCTGACATAGACAAACACGAATATATGTAACCACATTCATTCACAGCTGAGGACATTCTGACAGCACGTCCTTCACATTGTAAAGCACATGCCACCAGGCTAAGCACAAACATGCTGACTGCACAGTCACTGGCATTGACATCACTGCACTCAGTTCTAATCGATGATTCAAAGCCTGAAGTGAGTTTAGTCAGAGGTGGTGACGATTGAAGTTGTACGTCAAAAAATCTTGCAACATTTTGGTTGTGGATTTTTTTGGGCAGGACGTTTGTTTTTCTATTAAACTGGCTTATAACATTTCACTGTGCCTATTTAAACTTTAACATTAGCTGTCATTGATACAATAAAAAAAACAGTCAACTTTAAAATATATTTTTGTTTAAAAATCTTTTCTGGTGATGGCCTTTCCTGAGAGACATGAGTACAAAAGTAAAATATTTAAGCTTAGGTGGCTGTTATCATTTCCTCCGAATTGAAAACTTTAACACTATCAAAATCATGTAAGAAATGGATCTACATCCAGAAGCCTCAATAGATGAAAGTTATTTTTGTGCCCTTATCTATGAATCTGTAATTTTCTTTTTAAATCCCCCTGGACATTTTTTAGAAGGTCCACTACCAAGAATGTTGCAACTTTCTTTGATGCAGACACAAACAGGTTTGTTTTAGTTATTAACAACAGACATTGTGCAGAGTAGCCGTACACCACCTGCCTTCAGAGGTATGGACATGGGTCTTTCAGAGCAGGGGATGGAAAATGGCATGTGGGCAGTTAGAGCAGGACTTCTACTGGGTGGATGAAGGTTAGTGGAGGGTAGAGTACAGGGAGTGAGGGGAGCAGCAGAGACAAGTGGGGGCCTCCCACATGACTGCACCACATGGTGTTGGGCCTGGGGTTCAGAGTCAGGTTGGAGTGTGGTTCTGGGATTAGTTTGGCAGCCGTGGTGAAAGCTGGATGACAGCAGGGTTTTAAGATTAGAGTTTGACTTGGGCTGGTCGTTTTCGAGGTTGAGGGGACAAACATCTGACATCCTGTGGGGCAGAGAGTTAATGTTAGGACTGGAGAGGGAGAGGAGCGGAGAGAAGTTCCTGGGATGGGAGTGGGAGAAGTTTGACACTGGCTGAGACGAACAGAGCAGGTGGCTGTTAGAAGAGGGATTTATCTTGCGGGGGCAGCTGCCGTTGGACATGCTGTCTGAATTTGCACAAGGTGGAGAACAGTGGTTTGTTTGAAACTGTAGCAATGAGCTGGGACAAGCTTTGGATTCGAGATTCATTCTAGTGTGGTGTGGAGAGAAAGAGCGATTGTAGTGAGTGGTGTTTTGAAGAGGAGCTGGTATAAACTGTGGATTAGGAGAAGAGGAAAAGTGATGAGGAAATTGCAAAGAGGAGGGGTAGAGTGGAGGGGCGGGTGAGTGAGAGGAGGCGCAGGTAGATGAAGGATCAGGGTTTCCATGGTAAAGGGAAAACTGGGAGGCAAAGTGCTGGTTTTGATGGCAATGGTGGTGAGAAGAAGGAGCAGAAAGACAATCCAGACTGAAGGTCGGCTGCAGGGAGGGACGACGGCTGGGCTGCGTACAGAAAGACAAAAGTAGAGGAGGGGGAATGGAAATAAAAAAGTATCATAGAGGTAAGAGTTGACAGGTGAGAGAGACAGGGAGGGACAGACACAAATGTGCACGACTATAACCAAAGCCATACAGACTGAGCCTCTGAAGAGAATAAAATGAAAATAAATGTAAATGAGCCTGAAAAACATTTAAATTTTTACTTATCGTCAAATGAATTAAAACATAGTGGAAACAAAGTTTAGTTTGGGGCAACTGCATCAATGATATCTTAAAAAAAACAAATCTCTTAATATCAAAAACTACTGTTCAGCACATATGGCTTTAGTTGAAACCAAAAGAAACAGGTAACAGATGCGAACAGCAGGGGTGTTGGGGGGCAGTGAGTGGGGGTGAAGCAGCCAGCAGCTGGGGCAACAAGCTGTGAGGTGTGGGATGGTACTAGTGGAGGAGGAAGGGGTGGGGGTGGGTCTTAGTAAAAGAAGAATTAAAAAATTAACGTCATATTTGTAAAAGGTGATTATTCAAGATGGCCACCTTGTTGAGATCTTTTGAGGGAGCAAATTATAAACATGTCTTGTTCTTGATGTTTGATCATTTAAAAACTGTAAAATAAACCACAAAGCGTCACATTTGTCTTGACCAAAAATATTCACTCGTCACATTTTTATTTCTCCAGAGTCTCGTCTTTATGTTTGGAGACTTCACAGCAAGCCAGAGGGCATGTCAATAAAGCTTCTAACACACGAAGGACACAAAACTGAGAAAAACAAAAAGAATACACATTTCTCAGGGAGAATAGGTGCCATACAGGTACAAGAAGAAAAATAAGATTAATGAGATTTCGGCAATCAGAGCCATTGCCGTTGTTGATGCTCTGTAATCAAAAAAGTGATTTATGCTGCAAAATGTATCCGTTATGCCCTGCTCACTGTGTCCTCTACTGGTGTACCTGCTCCTGTCTCCTGCTGCGTTCTGCTTTATGTGAAAGGCAAACTTCGGGAAAATGTCCGAACACAGTTCATGTCTAAAAATGGCTATGATGTGAAAAACTCACTCGAATGATGACTTCAACATTAACTAAGGATGTCACCAGAATCCTGCAGAATCAATAATGTACATGATGGCCACTTAAAATCGAAGTGTAATGCAGCAAACTCCATATGAAACCATATCTGAGGATCAAAAACTCAAGAGTGCAAGACACAGACTTTTTTATTCCTGCACACATACAAAACAAACACAAATGGACACAGAGATACAAACTTGTGTGATGTATGTTTTACCTTTGGTGGTGCTTCATCAGGCCCCCCCGAGTCCCAAGACACAGTGACTTGTCTCCTCATCTCCATCCTGTTCCTCTCCTTCTGCTGGAGCTTCTCCTCCTCTAGTATAGTGCTGCAAATCAACGTAAAAGAGGCTGTGAGACAAACATGGTGCTGCTACAGTACGTTTGGTTTTTGTTCTGCTGAATGTTCGATTCTTTTACCCCAACACTGGAGACAGGCAAAGCGAAGGCTTGCATTATAATAAATAAACAGTTGTCTCCAGTTCAAATGCAACAATGAAGACATGACATTAAACACTGTGGGCTGTTATTATTACGCACCAAGCTGTGGTACACCACCTACTGCTGTAATGTGAATAAGCACTGAGATTAGCCAGCTGTATGAGAATGTCTATAATATTCGATGATATTAGAACATCTGTGAAATGTCCTAAAGTGTGACTACTATCTCTTCACAAAAAAGAAAGACACAGAAGACCACTTGTTTTATAACATACTGTAAGACATTATAATACCACTTCCATGTTGCCCGGTTCACACATTCAAACATAACAAACACCTGACCTGGAAAATAGGATGTACACACTAGAGTGCAACTCTTTATCTTGGCTGAACCAGCCAGAGAGAAAACTAACCAAGTCCGAACCTGAGCCTGATGTAGATAGACATGTTGGAGTCTTCAATAATAAAAATGTGTTTTTCTATCTGCTGTTGTAGAGATACAATTTACCAACACTGTTCTGAGTTTCATAACAGACAAACTGATGCATTCACTCGTACACAAAGTCACAACACAAAAAACAAATTCCATTTTGTTATGAAATGTCTTATTGCTCAGTCTCTTACCACCACAACAGTCCATCTCTAAAAGCCCATAATTCCCACCAGTGTTCAGATACAGTGAATTCTGCCAGCTACAGTAATAAAAACAATTCAACAGCTGTGTCAGCAGCTTTGGCTTCAGATCCTTCAAGATCTTCATTTTGAATCCCTCTTCTTTGCAGTGGTGCTGAGATGGTCACTGTTGCATCAAGACATTTAGTTTAATTTCAACATTTAAATCTTGAAAACAACTTAACTGGTCAAAGTAAACTATGATTTTACTCATCGTTGTAAATTGACAGTAACTACTGACATCATCTTTCTGCTGAGTCAGATAAAACTATGACAGGAACCACATCAGTAAATCTTTGGGTGATATTGCTTAAGAAATTAGTAAATTAAACTAAATCACTTGCAAACTAAGCATTTTTAGGACTAACGTAGCCAAAAATACTTAACCGAATTTACCAACTAAAATTACTCACACTGACCTGTTCCCTGAGGAAAACAGCTGCTAAACCAAAACAGAACTTCCGGAGAAGAGAGCTGCTGCTTAAGAGCCGACGCTTCCACAAAAGACTTGAGAAGTCACACTCACCCACACACATGCACACACACACAGCTCTCCTTTCCTCAACAAGGGTAAAAGCTATTTCTAGTAACATCATTATCCTCCTGTTCTGTTGTCCCCTGCTGTGTGTGTGTGTGTGTGTGTGTGTGTGTGTGTGTGTGTGTATGTGTGTGTGTGTGTGTGTGTCCATGCACCTGTCCTGGTCAGTCTCTCGTCAGGTTCTGGTCCTTTTCTATCACAACACAGAAATTTGATCGGTAATATTTTTACACTGAAATAACCTGTAACAGCTGATCCAACCAACTGAACGCAACTGCAATGACGAGATCATTTATAATTTGATTATAAATGATCAAATTGTATTGTTTTTACTTATTACTGTTGATTTAATGTTTGTATATACATTAAACAGATGCCCACTTGGCGTATCTTTTTAAATGTATGAGTTTGGCTGCTTTAGTTTAGGTTTTGTATTTTTTAAATAAATATTAATCTTCAGCTGTTTATACAAATCTGGGAATAATATGTTAATGTGTTAATAGTAATACACAGTAAACTGTCTAATGAACTGGACAATGAAACTGGACCCAATCCATAATATTTTAATAATTTAATAAACCAGCAGTGAAAGAGTAAAATAAAAAAAAATAAAAAAAATCACAATAACATCCTATATTATATACAAATCATAATAATCCTATATATTCAATTTGAAGCTTAAATTATTATGTTAGAAACACAATATTTAACATTTTTGCTTTTTGCTTTCCCTATGCCTTGATCAGGCCTGTGAAAAAAATCCTTTAAATGTGTTTTTCATTTCTTCTATATGTTCTTTGATCTAAGTCATACTTATTCTGTGAATTAAACATAAACACAATAGCAGCAATAAATCTTACAATGGTTTGAGCCTGTGTGTAAAAGCCCTGGCCTTGTTTTAAAAAGCAATTACAAACTGGTCCAAATGTTATCAGTCATTGATGAATCTGCAACCCTTGCCTCACAGATTAACAGTAAATGACATCATGTGTATAAATGTATGTGTGATGATGATGATGATAACATCAGCACCTAGCAACATTAACACTGAATGTCTCATCCACCCACCTACACAACGCCACCACCTGGAATAACACGGCCTGTTGAGTTTATTGACTCAGTCTGAGGCTGACTGCTCAATCTTGGGCTTCTCAGCTACACCCTGCCTCACTGTCACGTACTCCTCACCTGTTAGCTGCCTGCTACAACCGCTACTGACGACCGCTGAGCAGAGAAATGAGATGGAAATTAGCTGCTCGCTTCTCTCACCCCTTCTCTTGTGCATTTAAAATAAGGATTCATCAGCTTACATGAATTCAATCATTCAGATTTTTGCATGTTAAACTGTAGCAGTCTCAACAATGTATTTATAAGCACGCAATCTACCTCTCGACTGATACAAACAATTCAAGCAAAACAGAAGCCTGCTTTAAATCAGACTGAAACTCGCGGAATTGAGCATCCACCCTGCTGAAGTGCTCTTGTGCAAGACATTGACTTGTTAATCATTAATTCTTGTTAAAAGAGAAATTATTCCTTCTTTGTTTTAACAACTTACTACTGCAGCAAGAAAACATTATTTCTCCATCAAAATCCATCAAACCCTTATATTACAACTTTTCGTCATTATTGGTGATGGCAATGTATCGCTTAGCAATCAGTACTAGTAACAATTAGAGAAACCATTAACTGGTTCAATGTACATATGGGTATGTGAATGTTATTTTAAGAAAGAATTGATTAAAAACAAGAACCCGCTCTTTAAGTAGGACATGCATGCCTCTGTAGAGGCTAGGCGAGCAATCAACTGTGAGTTATGTTTCAGATACATATGACATGGCTCCTGAAAAACAGCTTTGGCACTAACACTGTAGCACATCCACACAAACAAACAAACAAACAAACAAGCCATTCATTTCTATTAGAGGCTGATTAAGTTTAGAAAATGCCTAATGAGACAGAACTGACCATACTTTACCTTAAAAAACGGCCTGTCCGAGAGCACCGCAGTATTTCCACTCGTATCCTCTTAGCCGCTAGAATGCTGATGATGGGCCAGCAGCACTCAGCACTAATGCTCTACGTGAATAACTGGGTCTCAGCAACACTCAGCACAGATAAAACTTACTTCTCCTGGCAGGACGATGCAATTATTTACTCCGCTAACTACAGTACATCACCACACAGACTTCACTACGAGGATAATAAGATCTGAGGAATGGGAGCCTTGGTCAGCGAGCTTTGACCATGGAAGTACAGAGCTTAACTAGTTCTGCTCGTCTTTTTCCTTCCTTCTTACATTCTCTCTCTCTCTGTTGGAAAGCTGTAGCTCCTGGCAGCTGCCCACTGTGTAAACACACACACACACACACA